AGTATAAATATGAAGATAGTATATAATACCATTGCCATTACAAGTATGTAAAAGAACATTCCTATAATATAACGTTATAGATTACTAATAGACTCATGCATGTTAAAGCTATACATATAATAATATGTGCGAAATCAACACAGAGAGAAATGGGGTATATTTAGCTTTAAGCTTTAAGTGAATTGTGAAGTAGATATTCTGAAAAGACTTTTTTTAAAACATATATAGATAATATATATATATTAAAATATCTATAATAATACTGTATAAGACTTGTGAGTATAAAAGATGCATAAGGAGGGGTGGGGCCTGGCTGCCAAACTGAAAGGCTGCATGCAGTGTGGGCTCTGTACAAAAGTTGACAATTATTGCCTAAAAACAGTATTTTGAAAGCAAACAAACGGCTAAATTTGCACTGATACCTACCTGCAAGCTACTCTGCTACAGCAGAAGGGTTTCCAGGCGTCTGACAAGCAGATTGAGCCCACACCGCCATTGAGGCCTACCTCGAGGTGAGAGCCGGGGAGAAGCGGCCAATCTCCCTACTGCCTCTCAGACCGGAACAAGCTGACGTTATACGGGTCCCAGCTCCCCCCCCCCCGCTGGTGGGGGTTATCCCGACACCATCACCACAGCCAAGCACATTGTCTTAAAGTAAAGACATAGAGGGGTGCAATCTGCCTCAAAATGGCGGCTACTGCACCAGCTGCAGACACACTGAACCGACTGCAGACACTCGAGCAGCGCCTGGACGACCTCCTCGAAAACTTCTGGCAGAGAACGCAGAACAAAGGGGCACAGACCCACAGGGAGCAGCTACACCCTACACGACCGCATTGCTCACCGCCAGAAAAAACGCCTGGAGTGGCTGGCGGGAAGAAAAGGCCGTACACAACGCCCGGGAAACAAAGACCAGCGAAGCGGAGATGGCGGCCCATAAAATCCGAGGCTCGCATCTACATTTATGGGATGAGGGCCCAAAATGGAAACACCATGCTGCGTACCCCACATACCCGAACGGGACTTTTCGATCACACAAACTTGCGGTGCTGAAAGGGACCGGAGTGGTGGAAAGTGTATGAGGGCCCTTGAGAAGGCCTGGGGCCGGCGGAGTGGCCAAACCTGCTGGCAGCTTCCAGATCGTGGGCATAGGATGAACGCATAAACACACTCCTGGTCAGTACCACAGCGTGCACACCGGGACTTACTCACAAGCAGCTCTAAACAGGCAGAAACATGTTGCCTCCTGAACGTTACCAGCAATACCATAAATGTATATTCTAATTTTGTTTTACTAGAAATGTATGATTTTTCTCTTTTTTCAGTCCAATGGTCTATTTCTTAACATGTTTAGCTTGATGCAGACGCACCCCAAAAGCCTAATGGTTAACAACTTTTAAGCCTGCTACATATATGTCTTGCCGAACCCTGCAGAATATGCAGCTTTTAGCCTTTATGTATGTTTAGCCTGAAATAATTTAATCTAAGAGTATGCTAGCTCTAGGACACGCTTTTCATGGTAGTACTCCTTTATTATCAACCGATATGTCTTATTTTCACCTCGTTTTTACTAAACTAGTACAGGCTATAAATTAAGACATATGGTAAGTACCTAACCTGCATTTACTAACAAAAAAATGGTGCCATTTAACATATTGACGTAGATGGTTTACAATATTTCCTTCATTTAGGTCTATGTTAACAACTCAAATCAACGCAACAAAGGTATATACACAAACAAGTATGCAGGCAAACCAAGTTATGTCGGATCCGGTAATTTCTGTATACTCCGTTCCATCCATGTCTATACAAATCCCTGTCCATGTTTCCATGGGCTGTTTAGGTCCCCTTTGGCCCCTCTCCACTCCTCTCACCGTCCAGGGTGTCTCTTCTCCCCATACCATGTCTCCCAAACCTTCCAAATGTCTCTAAAATTTTCCGTGGCCTTAGCACTATGGTGGACATTTTCTCGTATATATAAAACTGTTGTATTTTGTCTGTCAATTGTTGTATAGTTGGGCAACTATGCTTTTTCCAATTTAGTGTTATTAGATTTCTAGCAGCCATTAGAACTATCAAAATGAATTGTTTGTGGTTCTGCTGTGTTGTTCTGGGGAATAGCAGGAGTAAGCAGGTCGTTATGTTCATGGGGAAATCCCTAACTCCCAGGTCCCTTAATAAATTCTTAACATCCCCCCAGAGAGGTTGTATACCGCTGCATTGCCACCATATGTGTGGTGTAGATCCCTCTTCACTTGGATGATACGCCCGGATAGATTCTGTGTAATCTATTGGGAGTCATATACCACCTATAGAGTAGTTTTCGATGTGCTTCAATATGGGAGTAGCACTATTTTTTAATCTCATTTAGGGCTAGCATCAATTCTTCATCTGTCAATTCCTTCCCCCTCTCGGTATCTCAGTTCTGTTTACATGCTAACGTTTTTTTAGGTGTTAATTCTAGCCATGCTTTATAGCAGAGGGCTTTGGGTTTCATCGGGGCTGCCCAGCATCTGTGGGGTATAAGTCTTGCTGCTAATGTGGTTGTAGGCATGGTGGATGGCGTGTTTTTGACAAGTGTGTTTATCACATTTTTTAGTTGTAAGTAAGGGAAGATATCCCTCTCTGGTACCCCCCATTTATCCCTTATAGCCGGGAAACTCATGATTGTTTGTTCTCTGCACAGTTGTTAGATTTGGGATATACCTAGGCGTGACCATCTGGCTAGGGGGATCGTGGGGTTCACTGCGTGGAGTGCATTTAGGGGAGCTTCAAGGTGGAAGTGTTTCTTCCAGCCAAGGGAGGGCATAAAGTCATCCCACACTTTGATAGTTGCAGTTGTGGTAGGATATAGGCTCACTTTAGGGCCCCTCAATGTTCTCGACGTCCACATGTAATTAAGCAGTGAGGTGCCTGATTTTCCTGTTTCAATTTCCTATCGATCTCTGGTAACATCCCTTAAACCACACCCACTGCGCTCATGTAGTAGCTGTAAGGGGAAGAAACCAATGGATTTCTGCAGCACTCCCCGGTGAGCACACAAAAAAGCAGACAGAGAACACTCCCAGGATAGATGTGCTGTATCAACACCCATCATCTCTTTCATTTTGCGGTCTGTCTGCTGGGCTTGTTGCACTATCAGACTCTGAACCTTTGGTTCACAATCAGAAAGTTGCTTAGGTGTATGCGTGAGTTGTGATAAACTGACAAGGTTCCTGGTTCCTCCAACAGTATGTTTCCCTGCAGCCATCCTTCTTGGACCCACAGGCTGAGTCTGTCCGTGCCCCTCACTTTCACTCCAGGTCATCACACATACAGAAATTTGGAAACTGGCTAAGTCTGGCACAGAGTAAAGCCCTCCCTCATAGCCTTGCTGTACCTTCACATTTTCACCCAGTGCATCACATACATCTGCTTCAGGCACATATTGGCACATATATTCCTTCAGGCCCCTCTCGCTGGAAGGCTTTTCCCATACATTTTCACAGGACACATTTGACCCCCCTTGATCAGATACAGAATTTTGCACACACTCACATAATTTCTTCTCCAGGGCAGGCCATCCTCTCACAATCTCACATAGCCCCTGAGACTCTCCTGCTGCCGCCCTGACCCACTGCTGACTTGTTACCACTGCGACTAGTGGTACACATCCCTGGCTCTCACCTTCCTCCTCCCCCTTACTCTCTGACATCCCAGCCTCACAATATTTTGATACAGGCACATCACTACTCACCCCTATCTCACATTTGGTTGACATCACTGGTTCAGTTACAGGTAGATATTTATCCACACCCTGCTCTCCCTCCCAGCAATCACAGTTCACAATGTCTCCCAAAGTTTCACACAATACCTTAGGTGGAGCAGTCAGTCCTTCTGGCTCACAAACAGTATCCTCTGGAGCATAGTGACAGAGCATCCTGCCCAAATCATTCCCCAACAGAACATTAACAGGGATATCCTCCGAAACCCCCACTTCCCGCAAACCTTTGCCCGCACCCCAATCAAGGTACACACATGCCAGGGGTACAGCGGGGCGCACCCCCCCAATTCCTTTGATGGACATGGTTCTTCCAGGGATTATGTCCTCCATATTCACCACTTCAGGGCGCACCAGGGTGAATGA